AAGGTGCTTTCACTCCGTTACCAGTTGCTTCCATACTTTTACACATTGATGTATGAAGCTCACCTGAAAGGAACTCCAATAGCAAGACCTCTTTTCTTCTCATTCCATCAAGACACCAACACGTATGATATTAGCTCTCAGTTCCTTCTGGGTAAAGGTGTCATGATCTCACCCGTATTGTCACCGGGAGCTAGCTCTGTTGACGCCTATTTCCCAGTTGGAGTCTGGTTTGATCTCTTCAATCACTCGAATTCCTTGAGTTTGAGTCAAGGAAAAACCGTCACGTTGGAGGCCCCACCCGATCATATAAATGTTCATGTTCGTGAAGGGAACATATTGGCTATGCAAGGGGAAGCAATGACTACACGGGCTGCTCGACAAACAGCATTCAAACTTCTTGTTGTTTTGAGCAGCAGCGGGAACAGCACAGGAGACCTATTCCTAGATGATGGGGAGGAAGTGGAGATAGGAGAAGAGGGAGGAAGATGGACGCTGATAAAATTCTGTGGGAACGTCATTGGCAACAAAGTCATGGTTGAATCGCAAGTCATCAATGGAGAGTTTGCATTAACCAGTAGATGGGTTCTTAAAAAGGTGACATTTCTAGGGTTGGAGCATGTGAGACAATTTAACAACTATAAACTTGGCCAAAGAATCGGATCGCTATGGAAACAGAACCGCAGAATGATGAAAGGTATAAAAGTGGGGCGGAAAAATGGTGCTATGGAAGTCACTGGGATGACAATACCAGTGGGGCAGGAGTTCAAACTTGAGCTAGAGGCCAATGCCTAGGAGGAGATTTGTGCAAAGATGAAGATGAGTGTATCCTAGCTAATAAACGGTTAGTACTTCCTTTTGGCAGTTAATAATGTTATAATGATTAATAAAGTATTTATGCCCCCTGCGACAGTTCATTTGTAATGATTCAGAGTGTAATTTATATCCCACGTTTGTATAGTTAAGGTATGGTCATGTTTCATTATAATGTTATGATGTTGATCTTTTAATAACACACTAGATTTCAAGCTCTTGCGATGTACAACACTAAACATGCAAGTTTTCTAATTTATACAAAAACCCTACACATTTTTTGTATTTGAAAGTTAAAACATTTTTGTTTTATTTTGTAAGGATATTAATTATGTTCTTAATAAAGTATAATACATGCGTGTACGACGCATATTTAAATCACAAGTGGCGGGATTCATAAAATAAAAAAGACTTGGGAAACATCATCTGTATGAATACTCCAAGATTGGACCCAATTTTTTAGGTATGTTTGTTTGGAGATGAACTAAATTTTTATATGTTTAATTTTAGGTTCACCTCATTTGTTTCCCATAATGTGATACTTCGTATGAATCTAGTTTTAAATAGAACTTGGGTTTTACCACAGGCAATTCTCAAAAACCTCAAGTGTTGAGTCTTGCAGAACCTCCGAGTTATGGATTTTCATAGGTTAAGTTCTCTTAATAACTAATAAGTACTCCATAATTTTTTAACATATTCACCCTAGATTAACATTCTCCAAAACAAACGCTTACTACATCTCGTGGAAGAAGATATGATGCACTGTAATGATAAACGGATAGATTGGCACAAAAAAGAGGATATTGGTGATTTGTTTGGTAAATAGCGTTAAAGCTGTTTTTTAAATTAATTGATGCATATGAAATATCTAAAATTGCTAATACAATATTTAAGAAGTTAGATGGTGTTGCAAAAGAGATTGAGGAACAAAGTGTTAAAAAATATAAGTGTTGCATCAAATCAAATGGTTGTTGGTGATTTGTTGATGAAGAAGAGGAAGAATCTCTATCGGACAATGTGAACATATCATTGTGAGTTTGGTGTTGAAAGAATATCATAGAAAAAACTTCTCGGAAAAAACTTCTCGGAGTATATAAATTTACTGAGTATGGTGAATTAATAAAACCCGACATGACTCTATTGCACCTTAAAAATAAGTTACCCATCTACCTAAACAATGTAAACTCTTTCACATCTAGCCAAACTTTATATGCAATCATTTTGGCTGCAAGGAATTACGTGTAAACTACCAAATGAATCCTTAGTGAATGCTCATGAAATGTTACACATAAGATTTATTTATAAATAGTGGACCATGTCAAGACTATAATAGAACATACGTAGTATATGATTTGGGTGGCAACTATAAACACTTAAACAAACTATTATTCAATAGAATTTAATTCGTAATGATGCTAACATATATGTTGTGCTTTATAAAATTGGTAACAGTAAATATACTAAACACATTAATTTGTCGTGAAAGCAACAATAACAGTATGTTTCTACAAGATATTAAATGTTCTACCAAATCTATCAAAAATATCGAAGTCTTATACTCAAAAAATTCGGGATCGGCTAATATGAATCAACAAATGAAATCAAAATAAAGGGGTTGTTACACCGCCAATTTATTCTCTCCCCTTCGCTCTATTTGAAGTCATACTTTCATCCAATTCAAGAAGCATCATATCATTCTTGATCACCCTAATCCACATTTGTTTGGGACATCCTGTATATCTCTTCCCTGCCTCTGCTTTTCACCTCTTAGAGCCTCGGTTCATCTAATAGGTGCATCAATCGATATTTTACACGCATTGCAAAATCACTGCAATTGAGGCTCTCTCATTCAATATGTGCTACTCCCACATTTTACCGGGTTATCTCATTCTTCAAGCGGTCTTTTCTCTCAGCCACACTCATCTTTTGAATGTGATCTTGTTTCACCTCTCAACACTCTAAGCCATTATGTAATGTAGGTCTAATTGTTTCCGGTAAAATTATCATCAATTTAGTCGGCATATCTTGATCACATAGAAAATTTTTTCACTCTTCCATTTCATTCACCTTGACCCAATTTGAATATTTTTTTTCACTTTTTGAAAATATTAGATGAAATTTCATTTGAAACAATATTCAAACTTATACTGCCATTTTACTCAGACCCACATGCAAATGGCAAGTTACATATACATCTATCCATATTACCTAAATCAATGACACATATTACACATATGAATTGCACATGCTAAATAAGAGCATTGCATGCATAAAGTGTGAATGAATAGTATCGGTCATGTAATATGCAGATATGGAGCATGAGCTTATACACGTACGCTTATTATGCATATTAATTGATTTACTATATTCATATGCATGTATACTCGTATATATGTATACACAAGCATGAGCGAGGACAAAGTACGCGGTAAAAGCTTATGCTGGTTTGTAAGGATAGTACTAGAGGTTTGGAGTAACTACCCGGGTCCTGTGGGGCCGGGGTGTTAAAGAAATGATAAGTCAACTAGACTTTAATGTTGAAGTTGTAGTACATTAACTACTTTTAATGTACCCAATAGTCATTCTTAAAAATTTTAGGACCAGCTTATCAACTCTCAACAAAGTACCTCAACACCAACATATAGGCTTTCCGAATCTATCGGGAGGGGGAGCAATCAAATGATGGAGGTGCAATGACTATACGGGCAAGAAACAATGTGAATAAAGTACCAACTCTTGAAAAAGGGCTTGCAAAAAAAATCGATGTAATGTGACAAAGAAGAAGTGATTTCATGGAAGTGCAAATGATTTATGAGAAACTTCTATGCTATATTTTCATGCTATGTTATGTATGACATTAAACTTTTGCAAATGATAAACACCCATGCTATATTTGCTATACCATTATATTTTTGCAAGTGATAAACACCCATGCTATATTTTGCATGTCACCATATTTTTGGAGGATATATATCAACACACTTGTATGTTGTGTAGCACCCTCATGTGTAAACACTTCTTAAATGTTGTTTTGCTCATTATTATTTTATGGGTGTTTAATACTTCCTCTGTTTCTTAAAAGTTGCAACATTGTGATTTTGCACTATTCACACACCTTACTTTGATCGCGATTTTCTACTAATATATACAATCAAATTATTATGTATAAAATGTTATTAAATTTTTATTAATGTGAATTTCCAAAACATTAACTTTTTATAATGTTTACCAATGGGTAATTAAGTATAATTACCGTCAAATTGTGCGTCGGCAAGCGTGAAAGTCAAGTTGTCGCAACTATTAAAGAATGGAGAATGTTGTTGCAACTATTAAAGAATGGAGAATGATATATGTTTATTTGGATGAGTGTAAATGAATTTACGTTAGCTTTTTTATTTAGATTAACATTTGGATGGGTGTAAATGAATATGTGTTAGCCTCACTATTTAGACAAGCATTTAGATGAGTGTAAAAACCGATTCTACCTTATTATAGATGATTTTGTTATCCTTAACAAATTATAATACATGCAAGAAGGTATATGAACTACAAATTTGACCAATAGTACAATTATTATTTCCCTGGTTTTGTGTTGTGCACCAACAACACACTGTACATAAACTGAAACACACACTTACACTACAAGACAACAACTGATGAAGCCTACTATATGCTTCTATTACAAAATTTAGTCAATACTACACTTTGAACTACCCTTCTTTGGTCTTATTGTCATATGTAATTGTTAATTTCATTGTCATCTTCCCACCTTCATTCATTGTTGCTTGTGCAAAACATCGATAAGTTGACTAACATCACCTTTGACATTGTCATCTACACTTCCTTCACCTTCAACACTTATACTGTGGCTTCCATTGTTACGGCTTTCACCCAATTTCCATTTGAAGTAGTTGCACTGTATGCAATTATAAAACAATATCCCTTTGTTTTTACCTAATTTTGTTGTAAGACTAGCATATTTGAATGCTAAGTGAACACATGGGGCACTTCTTCTTGTTAGAGCATTCATTCAGGAAATAGTTTGAACGCGTACAACTATGACATATCCTGTAATTTGACAACATTTTTGTTCCTGCAAAATGAATCAAAGCCTATTTGTGCCTAGTAAATTTGTCCAAAACATACATATATTATCTTCATTTGTAATTTGCAAACCCTACGTCTCATGCAGAAGTAAGAAAGAAAGAAAGAAAGAAAAGAAGAAAGGCATAAAAAAAGAACTTGAAGGGAAGAACAAATCAATACTACGAACCTCAAGCAAAGTGACCCTAAATCGGTTGACAATGACGGCACTCATGGAAATATCCCACCGCCGGACGAATGAGGTGCAAATGAATGAAGTTTATCTGAGTTGTGCGAATGAAGGTTATAGGTATATTACGTATTTAAAGATTTAAGATAGGAAGTTGCACGTTTACACCTGATAAAATGGAAGACCGGACGCTGTTACTTGGATTTTTATGGCGGGGATGACATTTATTATAAGTCTGTCAACTCGGGAGGTGTAAATTTAAATCTCAGAAACACGGATCTGATATTTCAATTTGGAGGATAATTGAGGGACCAAAAGTGCAATTTCCCATTATGTTATTAGAAAATCGTTTGATCTTCCTGGGATATATACGTAGCAACACATCATAAATAAAATATGCACATGGATGAAATTCAGGTTGATCAAACTCTTCTCTAAAAACGTTAATTTTTTTTTTTAACCATAAACAGCAACACATCAATAAAATATGTTTAATGCAGAGTATAATGTTAATCACTAGATAGATTTTTGTATTTGTATGTACATGTAGATATACATGAATATATGTGTTTTATTACACGTGTAAAAAAAATGCTTTATTACATGTGTACTTGTATGTTTTATTATATGGGTAGAAGTCCAAAAGTAATGAAAATATGATTCAATGAAGAAGAACAATAAAAATGGAGTGTCTCCTACGGTGATCTCCATTCAATTTGGGTCAGATATTTGCTCAATTCTATTAAACCCTCTTCTATTAATAAGATCTTGAGTTATGAAAATCTGAGACAAGAATAAGCGGTAAATTACATCGTACAGCCGGCTGTACCGTGCGCACGGTACAGCCGGACTTTTTGTTCTCTGCGCAGCACAGGTCGTCGTCTCCAGCAGGCTTCCCTCGCACCATCTCCATCTCTTCTTCGTCCTCGAGAGGCTTCGCGCATTGTATGGTCATCGTTCCCAGCTCGCGCGGTTCGTGGCTTCCTCGCCACAGGGATTCGCTGAGCTCGCCTCTTGGCCGGATCTGTGATGATGGAGCTCTCAACTGATGTCTATGGTGGATTTCGCGATTGACGGGGATGAAAGGGCATCTCAACCCTAGATTTGGCTCCTGTTTCTCCTTTTCTTCGTTTTCTGATGGAGTATAATCGTAGTCTTACTGATGAGTATACACAAATAAAAAGTTGAGTATAGTGGAGATTTTAATGAGTTTTTTTAAATTGTCCGATACTCATTTCGTAATTCGTGTATGCTCATTTCGTATTGGTGTAAACTCATTTTAAAATGTCATATTCATGCATTTTTCAAAAGTATAATATTACATCAAATTCATATATTAGATTCATATAGATTCAAATTCAATGCCCTAAATCAATGAGCAAACACAAATGAGCTTTTGAATTTTTGATACTCATTTTGTACTCATTAAAAATGAGTTTTATATAAATCTCAGATGAGTATACGCCTCAAAGAAATGAACATACACAATTGAATATTAAACACATTAAAAATGTGTTTTTTTGTTAAACTTAAATGAGTATAACGTCCAAAATCAATGAGCATACACAAATAAGCTTTTGAATTTTTGGATACCCATTTTGTAAATTATGTATGCTCATTTGGTACTGCTTTATGCTCAATTTAAAATGATGCTCATATCAAATATAACGCCCAAAATTAATGAGCATACACAAATGAAGTTTTGATTTTTTTGATACTCATTTTGTAAATTATATATGCTCATTTGATACTGGTTTATGCTCATTTTAAAATGATGCACATATCAAACATATCATACTACATTAGATTGACATATTGAAATTAATTTTAAACACAATTTAAGAATTTTTTATAAACGAAAATTAATAAAAAGAAACTGAATTAGAAGATATGAAGCAGGGATCACTGGTGCTCATTGTTAGACTCCTAATACTCAGAAGAACAAACTCGATGCTCATCCAACTTGCATCAATGCTCATATAAGAGAATTCATGAAGTTCATCAAATTTACAAAAATGCCACCGGCTGTACGGTGCCAGCCGTACAGCCGGCTGTATGGTATACGCGTAAGCCCCCTTGTACTTAGTTTAAATCTGAATTTTGGTAGTGGGAGTAGAATACATTTACTTAAATTAAAGCTCGCAAGAGGAAAAGAAGTTCATGACCCCCGTAGGCTGTAGCTCTTCTACCTCCACGCGGTATTGCTCCGTCACGCTTCCGCCCATTGCAGAAAATTCTCCACTGCTGCCTCCCGTAGGAGTCTGGGCCGTGTCTCAGTCCCAATGTGGATGATCATCCTCTCGGACCAACTACTGATCGTCGCTTTGGTAAGCTATTACTAGGCCTGGGACCGGTTCGGTTCCTAGGCCAAATATGTGGAACCGTTTGAAAATATGAAATTTTACTAACGGTTCGGTTCTTATAAATTATTTTATAGAACCGATAAGGAACCGAACCGTTCTTAACGGTTCGGTTCTTATCATTTAACGGTTCCTAGTCTTCAAAAAAATTCTTACAAATCATGACTAAATTTTTGCCAAAAAGACATTCTACGTTTGAAATTACGATACAAATATGCTTAAACAGTTAAATAGAATAATAATTTTAAATACTTTGGACCTTCAAAGTTCCGACCCGCTGGAGTTCTGACCTAATGAGAGGCCTAAGAAGCCTAAGAGAACCGGTTGAAGTGAATAATAGTTTTAAATAGTTGAATAACTAAACTAAAATAATGAATGTAATATAAAAATAAGTAAATATACATAAAAAATATATATACTCATAAGAAATATATATAATTTTAATTATTATATATAACGGTTCCTTAACGGTTCCTAGTACATATTTTTTTCAGGAACCGAGAACCGAACCATTAATAAAAAATAGGAACCGAACCGTTAAAAAATAACTAATAAATGTTGGAACCGAACCGAACCGGGTCATAACGGTTCGGTCCGGTTCGGTTCTACGGTTCTTGGTTCCTAAGTCCCAGCCCTAGCTATTACCTCACCAACTACCTACTCTTATGCAAACCCCTCCTCCTCAGGCGGATCTAATTCAAAAAATTCACCCAATTGAGCATGTCTAGCATATTTTTTCACAATATCTTTTGTATTTCAAAACATTAACGAATTTAATACTTCATACTAAATATAGAACTCGTTTGGTAACATTAAAATCAAATGAATCGGCTAATTCTGCTGAATTTTATGAAATTCGAGATGAAGTGGCTGAGTTGGCTGAATTATGAAAAAACATATTAAAATATTCTATGTATTATATATATATAAACAATGAACTATTGTATTCAATACCACATGTACATTAGTCTTTAAACAAATTGATTAATTTGTACACAACTTCACCCAACGGTGCTGCCAAGTGACATGATATGGCTACACGTTTTAATTTTGTAATTTTTATAAAATGTTCATTTATTGTAATTTTTTAAAAACATATCAATTATTTTATTACATTTTATATGATCTGTCATTATTTGCATAATATACTTAAGTTTAAAATAACATCTAATACTAGATGATTTGGGAAAATAGTTATTTATTTTTTATTTTTTATTATATACAATATCGGTGTGACTATAAAGATGGGCGACATGAAAACGTAAATATTATTTACATGGTACTACGGTAGTAATTGAACTCAGTTTCTGCAACTCAATTTAAATAAAAGAAAGAGTCTGTGTTGTAATAATGACACAAGTAGTTGTTTGTAATGTTGTTATTTCATCGAAATGTCGAGGGAGAGGTATGAGCTCTATTTTACTTAAGTAGTGGTTTTGTGGATTATGTGCTACGTAGTAAAATAAAAATATATAAATGGTGAAAAGACTTGATTATGACATATTCAGAAAAATTCAAGTCACACAAATAATGTGTTGTATTTTATGATTAAAACCGTGTTCATTAATGTCTTTTTACTCCAAGTGGTGTCCGAGGGAGGGGGCTGGGGGTCTGGAGTAAACTGGGCTGAAACTTAATCCATTGAGTTTCGAACTCGAGACCTCCCAAAAGTGCGAGTGTGTCGGCGACCAACGTAACTGAGCTGAACCGCTTCCTTACCATGTTCATTAATGTATATATACATGTGTATACATATTTATATACTCACGTATCCTCTAACGCATCCTTATTTATACATCGACACATCCTTTTAACACATGTGTATACGTACTTATATACTACCATAAGTTGTTTTCATTAATTCGAAAAAGAGTCATTTTGGTAAAGAGGTTTGAGTCGTTTTGAATTTTTATTTCGTCTTTAATTATGATAAAGTAAAATGTATATTGTTTATTTAATGGTTCTTGGTATTTCTCAAAGTGTGGACGAAACATCCACATTTTGAAATACGTTTTTTTAAGAGCAAGTAGTTGTGATCAAAGATTTAAATTTGAAACCATTTAAAAGTTTTAAAAAGGTGGGATCAAAGATTTCATGTTGTGAGAGAGGTAACCTTGAATTTTATAAAAACATTGCTTCCATAAATAAACAGAAAAAACTACTATTGTGACATACGAAGGTCACTAAGCCATCATTGTCAGGTAAGTAAGTGCAATCATTGCATTTGCAATGGGTTGTGTTGTTATTTTACAAATGATGTTTCAATATCTGTGCAATGACATACATGTCAATCCACTGGGCATCAAGTGAAGCAGGTTGATTGCCTATCTTCTGTTAAGTAACCCTCGTCTGTATAAATGTAAACAAATGTCTTCAACATCTGATACTCTTCTACGCACCTACTTTCTCCTTTTTTGCATAACAGGCTGAAGTTGTTATTCACATTTTCATTGCACTCTTCATATCTTTTTTTTTACAGTCAAGCGATTACTTTTAATATTTTTTACGAGCTTATTGTTTTACAGAATAACAAGTTTATTATTGTTCGATTTTAATAAAAAAAATCTAATGAATAACAAACTTTTTTTTCCCTTGCTCTTTCTTTTTTACTCTCCACCAGGTGATTACTCTTAATATATTACTTTTCATACATTACTGTTATTCTTTGTTTGAAATCAGAAAAACGATAACATGCCTCACCTTTTAGATCATTCTATATTACTTTAATCCGCATCAACAAATTCAAGACTTTAAAGGTAAATTTATTTTCAAAACTTATTTTGTTTCTTTACCGCTAAGTCATGGGGACTTTGAGATGACATCTGTTTGATGTGGTGTTTGTGGAGGGTGAGGAGTTAGGAAATATGATAGTGCAGCGTTTCATTTTCACAATAAGGAAACATATATTCTGGACTAGTGCACCCATTTTTGATAACCCCACAGACTGGTTGTGTCTTGTGTGAGGGTGTGGAATATTTTAATCTTCATTTTCTTTACCCAACACCATCTCTGAAGAGATTTTCAACACATATTCCAACACAAATTCCGGAACTTGGAATATTTGTTGTAAATAAGTTTTATTTTAATCTTCGTCCGTCCCATTTTATTTGTCTTACTTCTTTTGTAGGTTGTCCCAAAATAAGTGTCACATTTCCTTTTTTGGAAAGAATACGTGATTCACAACATTTCACTTCATTATACTCAAATCTCAACTACAACTTTTACTTTTTCAATCACTTTATTACAAATTGTGTCCAAACCAAATGAGACACATAAAATGAGACAAAGGTAGTAATATTATTATTTTTTAAATATTTTTTATAGAATCTTCAAAACAAGGGAGTATCTTTTGAGCCGGGCTCCATCTATTTCCACATTTTGATTCCATATTTCCCACGCTCGAATACACAAAACGGCGGGTCCAAATTCCAAAAACCGGCATGTCGGATATACTCCCCTCAAATTTCTAAATTCTCATTTTCACCCCTTTTCTTCTCCGCCTCCCATCCAGGCTTTCCCCCGTCGATACTTATACATTCACCTCACCGCTGAGCAGTCGCATTCTTCGTCTCAACGCTTCATCGGTGACACTGGGATTCGTGTGTGGTTTAGATCAAATCTGTTCATTATCTCCGCGATTCGGATCACCCCCGCATTATGCGTATACATGTGCATCTCCTTGTTTGTTTATGATCTTTAGATCTTGACGGAGAAGATGGAATCGCAACCTTCCTCTTCATCGGGAAGGTTCGAAGCTCAAGGAAGTTTCAACACTAAAATATCTAGGTCGGCTTCGGATTCCAACAACCATAGCCAGAGCTTAGCTTCAATTCTCAATAATCCTCATGCTGGGAAGTCTGATAGCTGGTGGTGGTCTGCCTCGGCGTCTGTTCCAGTCCCTGAGTTTGCCCAGCTTCCGCCTCCACCTAAGCCCGGAT